TGTTATCTTCTTTTATAGTGGAATTATTGTCTTTTTATTGTTCTTTTATTATTCTTTTACTATCTTGTTAGTTTCTTCTAGTGTTCACTTCACGTTATTCACATTTCTTACCCTTTGACATTAAGTCAAGTAATATAGTTTACTGCCACCAAAGTCGACTATATTACAGTATAATAACTTATATAAGTTTATATTAATATATTTTGCTAATATATAATATAAACTTGATTTTTTTATATTTAATAAAAAATTTTTTTTAAATAAAATTTATTTTAAATTAATTTTAGCAAAAACTTGTACAAGTCACTCTTGTTATAGTGAAGTCCTTAGGCTATAAAATTTCTTCACTATATTGAGAGATTCACTATATCAAGAGCCTTTTATTATAGTAATAATAATTCTGTTCTAAAAAAATTCTTCACTATAGCCAATCTTCACTATATCAAGAGTTCACTATAACAAGAGTAACTTGTATATTCTTGTACAAATTTGTAAAGTTTTGCTTTGGGCAAAATTAAATATATCAAATTAGACATACCTCTTTTATATATATTTTTTGCTACTATGTACAATATTCTTATTATTACTAATTTTACCGAAACTTTTATCTAATACAAAATTCTCAATCTTTTTAATTTTTGTATAAACTCTGTTTTTTTTTTTGTTTTAATGAACACTACCTCTTTATTACTCATTTTAGTAAAATATACATATTATATATTATTTTTATTAAAATTTTTAGTACATCATTAGTAACTAATTTCTAACTAATACTGCTATTACCAAGTTCATATCTCAAGCTATCTTTTAAGGCACTGCCAAAACTTGGTCTGTATCTCAAGCCACAATCTTTCTAATTAGTCATCCTCTATTGCAAATATTCCAAGTCTTTTCCTTTGTGGTGTTTTAATTTCTAAATCTCTATAAACCACCTTGAGTAAGACATACTAAATCTTATAGCTCAATATAGTCATATTAATCACTATTTACCTTATTGTTGATCATTATATTCCATGATGTTTGCTTACCCTGACTTTGAGTATCTTTGGATTATTGGTTGGTAAAATATACCCATTGCTAAATATCACATGTCTTACACATATATCTATCTAGATTTTAGTAACCTAAACTATAGCTCTACTCATACACTAGAGATCAGGGCTAACCATTAAACTCCTGCAATTAGCTATTTCCACTTTTATTAAGTTTACAACAACCTAGTACTTACATTTGGATCATCTTCTTATTTGAATTCTTTATCGATCTTTCCCTTACTTTTAGCTAGCAACAGGCTTTAAGTGCCTCATGGTTGCCCTTCTCTTAGTACAAACTTCCAAAACATATATTCTTTTTCTCCAGTGCAACAAAAACTAACAATTTAATCAGTATGTTCTCTGCCATTAAAACTTGATCGCTCAGTTCTCTGATCTCAAACCCTGGTTCAAATTCAAGATCACTGTTATATCCCAACTTGGAACTTCCCAAATAGGTTTTCAGTTATTTTGGTTCCTCAGTTTTATTGTACCAAAGCTCCCATTACTAGATGGTGTAACTGAGATTGCAGATTTGATCCTAGATCCAACTGATAATTGATAACTGTCAACTGTAATGCAAGCCTATTTTCAAAATCAATCATCTGTAGGATTTGAACTCTAAACCTGCCAATTGGAGAGAGTTATAACTAGACCACTACACTAAATTGCCACACCTCTGATAAGGTTTTCAGGGTCCTGAACATTTTTACTTGAGTATCCGATACTGTTTATTTAGTATGCTTTTGAGAAATAGCGCTTGTCACCATAGTAAACTTGCAAAATTTAAATATGTTTTATATAGTAAAAATTATAAATAAAAAACCATGCAAATTGATTAATTCTTTTCATAACCTGGCCGGTCAAATCTTTTATGTTTCAATAACCGGGCAGGTTTTAAAAAAAATTTATATAAAAAAAACCGGTCGGTGGTCCATTTAAAAAGGTTCATGTTATGAAAATTAATTTTGTATGGCCTAAATTTGAAGGGAAAAAGTAAAAATAAACTTAAAATCAATTAACAAATATTTATTCATTAACGTTAATTTTATATGTCCCGGAGATTAACTGCCGGTATATTGTATATTAGTATACGTACAGTATATACAATTTTTTTTAATACAACCTATAATAATAGTAAATATATATATGTATATACGTAGTATTTTTAAACTTTAGGTTCAATTCTTAAATTAATTTAATCGATTCCATGTAAGAAACATATATATCAATATATTAGTAAACCTGTTGGCAAAGAAGCCACCTTAATAAAATAATAAAAAATATAATATAGTACTAATGTAAATAAGGTAATACTAATTTACAAAAAATATATAGATTCCCGTCGGTAACATGTTAAATCACGTGCTGTTCTAAAATGACGATATAATCTTGGATGCCCATATTAGACGATTTCAACAGGAGTAAGCGGCATATGACGTAAAGAATTGAAGTACTTTGCTTTCATTAACAAATTTTCTTCGTTTATTTAACCTTGTAATTAATAAAATAACTATCTGAAAAAAAAAGAATTTCGATATGAGTCAGACGCAAATTAGTAGTCAAGTCAGTCCTGAGCAAGAATCGAGTGGTCCGCAAGGCATAATAACACAAGCACCTCCGGAGTCGAAGTTTTTCGTCGGTACAAAGTCCGAAGGTAATGATTTCGATTTAACTTCTTAACTTGTTTATAGTATGCCGAAAAGAGTAAGCTTTTATCGAGACGGTTGAAATCAAGAAATTTAATAGCAGCCAAAATAAAAATAAGGTTCAGAATCTATTTCAGTGTGAATTATGTGAAACTGGGAAATCTTTGCTTTCTCGCGGCCGGCAGGAGAAAAAAAAAAAAAAACATAGCCAATTAGTAACTGCTCAAGAGAGTTTTTTTGCATTTGACACCTATATACGTCTTTTCATCCATACAAAAAATCCAATCTACTCTCCTGAAAAATATCTCATCTAAATTAGTAATATATTCTTTTATTAATAATAGCAAATGTAGGCCCACCATCACCAAAAACAACAAGCAATTCAGGAACAACTCAACGCCCTCCGCAACGTTCATTTTTTTCTCTGCTTTTTTGTTGCACGTGGGGTGCTGGCGCTATAGCAAATGAAGGTGCCAAAACCGAAACCTCCACGGCTGTTCCTCCAGTTACCATACCATCCGGGACCACTGGTAAAAGTACTTCTAAAAAGCAGTCAATATCTCCAGGAGAACAAGAAAAGCCCGCGGAAGTCAACCCACCACCTGTGGTACAAGAACCTGAGGAAGAGTATAGCGATGAGGTCAATAATTTTATCATTCTTCACTTTTTTTTCTACGTTTTACCTTTTATGCGATCGTGATGCGTTCACGTAGATTGAATACTTGATAAAGAATTTCTTAAAGTCTATATTAAACATCTAACTTTAATATATAAGGTATCAATTTACTGAATGTTTGTAATCACTTAATAATAGGTTGAACGTAGATGGTTGCTCGAGCCTATAGCTCCCGAGCATATCGGCAGAAAGTGTTTAGTTTTAGATTTGGATGAAACACTAGTACATAGTTCTTTTAAGGTGAGAACAAAAATATTGGATATATTTACTATAGCAATTTATTAATACTCGTTGTCAAGTCATTAATTTTCCTTTTTAATATAGATAATTCATCAGGCTGACTTTGTTGTTCCAGTGGATATTGAAAATCAAATACATAATGTATACGTGATAAAACGGCCGGGCGTCGATCAATTCTTGAGAAAGATGGGTGAAATATACGAGATTGTAGTGTTCACTGCCAGTTTGTCAAAGGTATATTTATTATTTTAAATACAATGGTTTCAGATGCATTCATTCCATTGATTTCATAAGCCCTTAAAGAAAATTAAATCGTAGCGTAATTAATATTTATATTAATTATTATGTAAAATATTTAGTACGCCGATCCGGTCCTTGACATGTTAGATCAACATAAAGTTGTGAAACATAGACTATTTAGAGAGTCATGTTTTAATCACAAAGGAAATTATGTGAAGGTGAGAATAGCTCCAAAATTGGTTTACTTGTTTACAAACATTTTACTATAGTTTTTACATATTATACATCACTTTATTACATTAGAACTTATCACATCTTGGTCGAGAACTTCGAGATACAATTATCATTGATAATTCACCAGCAAGTTATATATTTCATCCTACAAATGCTGTTCCCATATCGTCATGGTTTAACGATCCTCATGATACAGAACTGTTGGATCTAATACCATTTTTGGAGGATTTAACGTCGGTAGATGATGTGATGATTGTTTTGGATTCTTCTAACGAGGCGCACTCACAAACAGGTATAACAATGACATCTCGACAGCATAAGTAATGATGAATTAAAAGCATTATCACCCGAAGTTTGCTTAGAAACAATAGTACTAGATGACTCTTAATTTTTTTTTAATCATTGGACCGAATGTTATGGTTACAACAAATTCATGTATAGTTTTTTAATGCATTGTACATTAGAACTTCATGTATACTTTATATAAACTGAAATTTATGATATTAAGTAATTTAATCATTATATGATCAGTGTTTCTGATCGTTTTTGTGCACAAATATGATGTTAATACGTACGTTCAAAGTACTATCAAAACGATTAGAATATTGATCTAACCTGCTCTAATACCGTAATCCATATTATGAAATTTTTAAATTTGTACTTCTTGGCGCACCCATATAGTTATCGTGTATTTGTAAACTATATATGCAATAATAAATCTTTATTTTAACTGACAAAAATTAGATTATATATCATGTGTAATGAATAAATTTTCGAGATTTTTATAATAGAATGTGAATTTTAATCTTGAATTTTTTTATTTAATTCTTTATTATGATAAATCTTATATATATAAAAAAGAAAAGGTAGTAAAAGGTAGTCGGCTAAAATTTATGTTTCTTCGAAAGAATAAAAATCTTAAAATTGTAGTATGTTAAGATGTGTAGTTGGAATTCTATACTATAAAAATATTTTCATAAACCGACCATTCGATTTTTTTTAAAAAAGTGTTCGTTTGGATTGTCTCTTGATTTGTATATACGATATATATATATATATATGGGTTATTTACAGATAAATTTGATAACAATAAAATGTTTGAAAATAAATATTTTAACTAATTAAAAAAAAAAAAAAAGAAAAAAATTTTTCCAAAGTCCGATAATATTCCACCCAAAAGCCAAAAAATTAAAATCATAATCGTATTAAATGTATGTATCTATTTTCCATATCGTTAGAGATATCGTTAGAGTATATCAATATAAATCGGTTAATACAATTATTAATCGGAAAAGCTTAGAAAGATGATTATTTATTCGCGTTATTGTTCACTTTGATCAGAGTAATAAACACCAAAAGAATTATTTGGAATCACATCCATATAATTTAAATCGAGAGTTCCGGCGGCATTAGGAGCAACATTTTGTGGAATTCCAAGTAATGGTGATAGATACGGATTTTGTTGAGAGTAGTATTGAGCATCAGGACTCGGAAATATTGGAGATGTCGAAGCAGCGAACGGGGAGTTAATTTCTGAACCATCATCCGATCCAGTGCCGGGTATCGGTGATCGTAATGACATAGTAGCAATTCCACTCGCCATTCCATTCGTTACCAGTGAAGGCGATGGAGAAACCGATCCAGACATTGAAGTAGCAGTATTTGTCGAAGAATTATTTAGTTCAGAAGTTTGTTGCATTCTTATTACCTCATCGATTAGTTCCGGTGGAGTAATCATAAAAGAAGATTCAGGTTCACGGAAGGCTAATGAGTTTTCAGCTATTACCTTTAAATTTGAAATTATAACATCCGGATTTTCGTTTTGTAACAATTTGTCAAGAAAAGCTTTCATTAAATGTAGCCAAAGGAGTTCACATCTGCTTTCTTCAATAGATTTTCTCAATTGTTGAAAGACAGCTTGGTTTTCTTGACTGTTGTTAAAATAATTGTAACAATCAAATAACTGGCTTTGAATTTGTTTTTCCATTTTCAAAGTTTCAATAGTATGTTTAAGTTTCTCCGATTTTTGTTGAAAGTCATCATGAGTTTGTCTCAAAGATACTTCTAAATTGTTGACTTGTGTGTTCAATTTTTCTACTTGACGATTTTTTCGAGGTGACTTATCAAAAACACAAGTTCCAGCATCACAATTTGAACAAGGCAAATCTTTTTCAGCATCACCATCGCATTTAATTTTTAGTTGACGACATTTCTCACAAGCTCTTCTATTAATCGTACCACGAGGTTGTCGGCGAACTACACGGGGTTCACCGGTTGTTAATAACGTTTGGTTCGAATTCATATTTTTTTTAAGCTTATTGTAAAAATTGTGGTTTTGTATGCGTATATATATAACTATCTATCTATATACGTGGTTGTATATTAAAATCTTTAATTAATTATATATATTTGTATTCACACAATTCATGTAAAGGTAAAGAAAATAGATCGGGAAGTGTATTATTCGATGGACTTTCAAAGCCAATTTTAAACACCGAATGTTAACGAGGAAAAGGTAAAATGAAAACGGATGTTATGTAAAATGTTCGTAAACGATTAAAATAAAGAAAATCTCAAGATATAAGAACAGCTTTAATAAACTGTCTTTGAAAGAAGAGAAGATGAGAATTATTCCGGTTGACTTTCACAGCGAATTTGCAGAAATTTATATTTTTTCCTTATGTTGATAGTGAGGCACAGCAATTTACTGCGCTTCTCTTTGTTCGGATACTTAATTTGATTTATTTAACGTATTGCAAATTTTTGATGTACCAAATATATTACTATTCGTATTATTTAGTGTTCTAGATATTTTGGCTGGCTGTTAGTTGAAATCAGTGATTTTTATGAATTTTTTTGGTTACACGTAGCCACAACACTGTGGCTAATAAAAGTTCCATGATAACATTCCATTATTTATCCTTCGGCTGAGAAATTATTTTTTTAAAAAATGTTTGAGCCACAAAAACAAAAGCCCACCAAATTTCTTTCTTCACTAGCCTTCTTTTCACTAGCCACATTACTTGTACTCACACGCCACTCAGATCTGCAATCAAACCGATTTCTGCGTAGAAGACTGTGAAAGAATAACACTAACTAAATTTGTAATTCCGGAAAATAGACTACGATGATCAATATTAAATGTTTCATTTTACTTTTGAATATCAGCCACTATTATAAATCAACAAAGCGTTTTGGTAAGGATGGGTTTTAATACCGGGTAAAAGCGTAAGATAATAAACATATTTCAATACTTCGAATAATATTGCATACTTTGTGGTCTTTTGTAAAAATGCTTGGAACCTTCTAATTTATTATTCCATCAGATATCATTTTCTAATTTTGGGTTTTTGTGGTTCGATTGAAGTTTCCCTATTATTCATGTGACATTCGGCCGTTTCACTATTTGTCTACCCGTCCTGATGACTCGTTTTAAAAAAAAATTTGTGATACAAATTTCTTAAAACGTACGTACTTATGTACATAACTTTTTCTCTTTAACCTATTTTCATATTTTTATAGAAAAGAATAAGTAAATAAATAACGTAAAAATTAATCATCTGTTAACAATTCAACAAAGGATTATTTATTATTATATGTTGTGCTTCCTATTCATTATTATTCTTTTGTTGATTTACGCTATATAAAATTAATTTTTTGATTCGAATCATTTTGCATATATTGTATACATATTGGAACTTTAGTAATTCGAATTATCATAATTATCATATCTAGAAATTTTTTTTTTTTAACTGACCAATCATTATGTTATCTACTTAATCATAATGATTGTACTTGTGTACAAAAAACTTTTTTAGAATGCTTTGAATGATATGTACGGCATAATTACATACACACGGTCATTATCCGCAGTTAAGCGATCTCAACTTTGTTTGGATCTGTATTGTATTTGAAAATGCATTAAATAATTAAAGTTCGGCTCGGCAAACACATGAGAAACAAAGGTTTTATTTACATGACGATATGTACATACGTACGTACCGTACATACGTGCTTTCCTAAATTTGTGCTACCTTATGATCGTCTAAATGAAAATGATATTAAATTACAGTGTATGCGTATATTGTTACAGTAAATGCGTATTGTTAAAGTGAGTATGTACTGTATGACTGTACATAAAAAAAGATAAAATTTTAAAAGCTAGATTCTAAAGTTGTAATTTAAGGTATATATATCCTTCGTTTAAGGTTGGGCAATTTTACTATTCATTGAAAAAAACCATTAGTTACAGTTTCGGTATATCGCACTATATTTTAGCTATATTTGCACTTTTTTAAACTTATTTTTATGAAATTTGCGAAATGCAAATTCATAAAATTGTCAAAACAATTACTGTTACCAAATTTAAAATAATTTAACTTTTAATAAACAAAAATAATAATATAGTTTTAAAAAAAAAACAATTTTTTTACTATAGTGCAGACTAATTTCGACAAATAAAATTGACTAATTTTAAAATACAATATTAATCCTTGTTTACAAAAAAAAAAACAATAAATAAAAAAAAAAACTTTTAAAATAATAAAACTATTTAAACTAGATGATTTTTAAAAAAATTTTTAACAACGTTATAGTAGAAAATTAAAGTAATTTTATAATTAATTAAGCAATTTGGTTACTTAAAACTAACAAGCAAATTTAACTATTTTATATACTAAATTTTGGTCTGACGATTACCTGTACCAAAATTTCTTACAAACAAAACAAAAATTTGTTATAGATAAAGAAGCAATGGTTTTTACAAAGATCAACTACAGATGTTTTTTGTTTTCACCTTTGAGAACTTTTTGTATATTTGGCATATGAACCAAGACCATTCTTATACAAGATAACTGGCATGAGGTGGTGCTCTTGTATAAAAAATTTTGAAGAAAGTAGCAGTATTCTTATCAACAAAATTCTTTATACAGAGAGTAATATATTATTATAGACACTTTTAAAAATTTGTACAAAGCCAAATATGCAAGATATTAAGCTAAAATTTAAATAATATATTCTTTAAATCTATAGCTTTTAAATAAAAAAAAGTTTAAATGGGGTCAAATAAAGGGAACTCTTTCTGATGATCACTAAAACCAAAATTTTCCAAACAATTTTTGTAAAAACAGTAACTAATAAATAATGAAGGGCATAAAACTGGAATTCATAAGTCGGCAGTTGTTATTTAGAGGTAGTTCTCATATGCTACCTGCTAACTTCTTCAGAGTTTATCACTCACCACTGGTATGGCACTTGTTGTTTAGAAGTAGTTCTCATACACTACTTGCCAACAAGTTCAGAGTTTATCACTTATAGTAGCTCCTCCCCTTTCCTAGGAAAAGAGTTACTAGTCATTGGTTCTTTCAAGGATAAAATACTCTTTTTGGGTACTAGTAGTCTCTTCTTTAAGTCTCTCTTGGTCCTGTCGGTCTTCTCCAAAATTTTTGATAAAAAGTGGGTGATTTGGCTTACCCCCTCCAAAAGATCGGCATTGTTTACCTCCCAAATTCAGACGTACCCAGGAATGCAACCACATGCCTTGTTTATCGATAAATACAATACGCGACGTAATCTATGAATACGGAATCTCCATGTGACTGGGATCGGGTCTCTGGCATAAGAGGCATCCGGAAGTGGCTAGTAGTCAGATAATAAAAGTTTTATATTATAGTCGAGATATATAAACGTTGCAGTTGTTATAAAATTTTTTTTAAACCTGGCACAGGTTATAATAGTATATTTTTTCTTGTTTTGGTTTTTTTATTTTATTTCCTCTATGCTATTTCTTTATAGAGGTAGTTTACCCCTTTGTCAGCCCTCAGACTTTTCTTTTTGTGTTTCTTTTTTTTATATCTCATTGTACCCTCTTTTTTTTCTTTAAAAATACCTCTTTATTCTATTTGTCTTTTTTTTAGTTAGTTTTTTCGTTTTGTTTTCTTGGTATTATTAGTGGTTTTGTATGAGATCATCACTTTCTTTTGCTCTCGGTAAAGAAAGGAAATATGAAGGGAAAAGCTTTAACAAGCTGACAAAGTTTATCTAACTTGTATACAGGTTGGTGCGACAAGTCGCAGTTGGGAATGTTATCGCAGCCGGGTGATATCAGACTTGCAATCACGAGACTTCCTGTTTTTTAGTTATAAATGATATATGTATTGTTTGAGAGAGCTTAGCTCTCACCTGAAATATAGTCCTAATAAATTGAGTACTGGCAAGACTGTCAAAGATTTAAAAAAAAAAAAGTTTAAAAAATTTTTATACTACAGTTTTTACAATAATTAAGTTTAAGTAATTTTTTTTTTTTTTTAATCTTCATGGGTTTTGCTATGGCTTGCTTTTTATTAAAATATGTATAAGAACTATATATATTTAATTTATAAAACTCAAAGCCCAACTTTACTCGGTTATCTTACGGTTCTAAATGCAAACTGTTGCACTAGTTCACAGACAAACTAGAATTATCTTATCAAAAAATCTATAAAAAAAAGAAAACAACCTATAACTAAAAAGGAGATATGAAAGGAGGAATAGAGGATATGAACAAAATATAAAAATAAAAAAAAACCCCAAAAAAATAAAAAACAGGAAAAAATAAAAAAACATTTTATAGAAAAAAGATAACAATTCAAGAGAAATTTTACCTCTCTATATAACCAGAATGCATTATTATAACCTGTGCAAGACTAAAAAATTATATAACAAATGCAACGGTTGTATATTTCTATTGTAAAGCTTTGTCTTAACATATATTTTCTTTTTTGACTAACTGACCAACTTCAAATATCTCATTAATTGGGGTCCTGATCTGACTCCCATGAGGTAGCACCGTATCTATAAATAAACATGTCACATGGTTGCATTCTACTAAGTTTGTCCGAATTTGGAATGTAAACAATGCCAATCTTTGGAGAAGGTAAGCCAAATCCCCACTTTTTTCGAAAATTTTGAAAGACCAATGAAAAAAAATGAGAGAAGGTAAAAAGGGTATCACTTAACCAAGTAAAAGAGTGCGGCTTTAAAAAAAATGCAAGTTTTGTTGTTTCCCCTGTGTTCTTCTTTGAAGTAATAGCTAGATAGCTTCGTCGATGAAGATAGGCAGACCCAAACACCACCAAGATTTTTCATACAAAGGCACCACTTGCCAGTTATCTTGTATAATAACGCTCTTGGCTTGTATGCCAAATGTCAACTAATAGAGGAGTCCCGCTAGCAAATACGTTAACCTCTAGACAAACCACTTCATATCTATGTCTCTTCAACAAAAATTTTGTTTTTTTATTTAGTCGAATTTTTGGTTTAAAT